CTTTTATTCCTTTTTAAACCTTACTTTTTACATAAATACACATCATCTAAAATTAAAATTACAATTCGCTCATTGCCACAAAGTTTGTAATCTTCGATACGGCTGCATCCTCAACATGAAGCTGTTGATTTCAAGCTTGGTACAGTGGCAAATGGTGACACTCTGAGGCGCATCTGCACCGAGAAAGCTAACCCTTTTGTGATTTGTCGATTCGTTTCGATAAAAAATTAGTATTTTTGGATGCCAGCGAGTAAAAACTACCATCAACTAGCTTCTAAGCAATTCTCGGAGGAGGAAGCCATCGATTGCCTTGCCAAAAGATGGTTGGTACACGATGTTTCCACCAGCAATAAACAGTAATTTACGAAGAAGGTTTTGACTTTCGAACGGATAATACAAAACCTAACGCCTGTCACAGGAAATGGCATTGGCAGATTCAGGAGGGTCTTTCGCACACCCCCCCCCCCTTTCCAAGAGCTTAGGCAGCAGATATTTTACTATAGAAAGGTCTACATGGAACTTCCAGTCGCTCCCCTCTCCCCCTCTCCTTTCCCTGCCCCCCGCCCTCTCCCCAGGAGATCGTCCCGGACCCGCCTTTGGAAAATGGCCTACAGAGACAGTGTGAAATTCCCCAATTTCCCCGACGATTCATACGCTGAACATAAAGATGCCAAGAAGAACTCTCCAATCCTTAGACACATGTCACAGTATGTTACAGAATTAACTCAGTGTTAAAAGCAGGAATAAATCCGCCCAATTCTTAATTAATTCAATATATATTTTTTCTTTAAATGAACAACCCACCACTTCCAGCTCATCAAGATTCGATCGCGCAGCAACATAATTGAGTACTGTTGATTCGGTCTCGCTTAACGAATCCAGCAGGCATGGCACCAGTACATTCAGATGTTCGTGTAGTGCCGAACCAGCTTCTTTCGAAATATCCATTAAAATCTTCAAACTACAAGAAAAAGTTCAACAGTAGATCTCCAAAAATCCCCACAATAGCCTTTCTTTTAAATCTTTTTCTTTCACTTCTTTCGCTCATTCAGACTGTTGCAACTAGAGCTATACGTTTTTAAAAACTAGCCAAAAGGCAATAACTTTGATATGGCATCAGAATTTAAGTTGATAATAATAATGATAATGATAGTAATAATAGTAATAATAATAACGTTAATACTGTTATTATAATTTTAAAATATTTACGATATGAAATTTATCGTAAAATGTGTCCTGCAAAAGTGTTTAGGCGAGGAGAATACCTTAGCATCCTGTTATTTTTTACGCCCGATCGAACTCCTTTATCAACAATAACTGGAAGTACCACTCCAAGAAGTGATGTTGCTTCTGCGCCATTAGCTGATGAGCATTTTCGTACGGTTACTTTGGCAACAGTTGAGACAGCACGTGCAGCTGCAACACGTACCGATTCCTGAAAAGTAGAAACGGCACAATCGATGCTGTCTGAACAATAAATCTAAAGCTACTACTGATTCTACTGGCACAACCATAAGTCCGGCCCTGACCCGAATTCGCGCAAGGAAACGATGAACGATGAAAAGTAACTGACTGGCAACTCTCCATGCGAAAAGCATACGAAACAGAGTTGTGTAATTCCTAAAAATGAGACACTACTTCTTGGCCACTAAGTGCAATTTCTCAAACTGAGGATTCAGTCAATCGTATTTACCGTGGTCCAGCGCTTTTAGAAAATAGAATTGCCTAAAAATCATAGGTTGCTATGTTGGGTTTACAGGCTAGGCATTTCCTCGACTGGGCAATAATTCGGAGTAGTAGCAGGATCCACGTCCCTCATGCTTCGTCTGGGTTGCCTCTACAATTCAGTAACTTCACGCTGGATCGACACTACTGACACGGCGGCCTTATATAGGGCACTTTTGCCTCATTACGCGACCTATCTAGGAGGGAATCATGATGCAACAGCTGTTCAATTCGATGTAGTCTCTTGGAATAAATCGCATCACCTTGACATCATCCTGCACCCGAAATAAACTCTCGAAGAGTTCCCCAAAACGTTGCGTCATTGCACTGGTGCAGCGCGCACTCAACAAATCGGCCAGTGCTAAACAGCTGCAATACTCTTATTATTACCTTTGGAATGTGTAGCGACAAAAAATTGAATGGCGAATTTTTGCTGGTTAGTTCCAAGGTTAACCGCAACAGAAAAAGTTATTCACAAAAATAATCTGAGTTGTTAAATTAGGAAAAGTAGAAATAACGCAAGAGAAGCAAGATGTATGTATTTGAAAAAACCAAGAAACGCAAAAAACCAACCAGAAATATGCAAACAAAACCTTGTGCGGGACCAGTAAATTTAGCAAAAAGGAAAGCTAGTAAGTATCAATAATCGCAAAGGAAACCTTGATTCACGTGTACGCCATTGCGCATCCGTAAGTGTTGATAAAAGTTCCTTGAAAATAGCATCCGCATACTCTTCTGTCTGAAATTACATAAAATTATAATTACAGTCCACTACTTCCAAAACTGTGCCCCTTTTTACTGATAGAACGTCGAGGCCAACACAAATCTTTCTACTGATGACGATAAGCAGATTGCAGCATCCAGGTGACCCCGGAAGTGCAGATGACAAAGGTGTGAAGGAGTTCAGGAGAAAGGAATAGTGTAGATAAGAGAAGGTAAGAGCGAGATAAGATTGTTGCTCGTGTATGTCAGAAAATCAAAATCCCCCAATTTTTTGCAAAACAATCTTCGGAAACGAAAATTCCCGGCAAAGCAGCTAATTAATGCTTCTTGTTAACCGTCTCCTTTCGGTCTTTCATATCACAAAAAAAAGGATGACAATTTGCGAAGCATTGCTGCTACAGGATATAAGTAAGGAAGAATAATAACTTTTTTCTGTTCAGTGAAAAAAAGTTGCATTCAAACATACCACATTCTTCTTGGAGCTTGTCAATGCCTGCCAGATTGTACGCATCGAGGCTTGCACTTTCAGATCGGGATCGTAACGATACCGGAATAGTTTGGGCACAAGCTGTGCAAAATATGGCTCCAGAGCATTCTTTGCTTGTTGCATCACAACACTAAAACCCAAAGCAGCACCCTGAAAATTCATTCACCCACTGAAACCACCCTGGACAATCAAATGCTAGAAAAAACCAACGACAGCTAGAAAAGGCAAAAAAAACCCCAACGGCAGCAAACGAAGAAAGAATACTTTTTTGGAATTCCACAATGCATTGTGGTTTGCGAGTTGCATGAATTTGTA